TGGCAAACTTTTTTTCAGCTTGCCCGGTGTGGATACACACTCAGAGTAACATCACAAACAACAACCGTTCTAGCTTTCATGCTTTTCAAACACAAAGATGTCTTTGTCCGTCGAAGAGCCTTCGCGAAATAATACTTGCATGTATTTTCACGCCGTTGTATGTCTTTCACTTCACGGCAGCTGTCTGTGTCAAATAGGCCATTCACAGAATATGGGTTATTTTCTCCTAATTCTTCTTTGCCGGTATTTACTTAACTTATTTTGGTATATGAAATTATGAAAACTATTTTATAATTTCATAGACATACAATAAATTCTTTCATCAAGCTTAAGTGGAATCATTTAATATAAGAACAATAATGCTTTTATTTTAGATGTTGCTCTTCCTGATTCTTTTTTTGGTTTCGACTTCATTTGAACAGGGTAAGAAGCATTGAGAATCGATATTAATACCGCATATATATGTTTCTCTCTTATATTGATAAACGATCTTAAATAACAACAGGAAATAAATTCTTTGTTTTCAAATTGATCACTATTCAACGACAGAAAACTGTTTGCTATATAGTAATGAATTGTACATGCGCTTCAAATTTCTCTAAAAGGTTGGAAAACTTGTTCACCTATACCAAAGTAACTATTTTCCTTGATAAACTACTTTTGAACACTTGTACAGATATGAACGCTTAGGTATAGTTTCGCAATGACAGCACTTATTTAATGTAATTATTATTGGAAGTTCAATAAAGTTCAGTCGCGGCCACCCGTTCTGTTGCTTTTATCAACCAAACACCTTTTGGGTTAACTCGCAGGTACACCATATATAAGGAAGAAGAAATTAAACTCGGACTAAGCTAACTTGATTTATATCTGATAGCAATTTCGGTTCTATTTTGTTTTCCCTGAAGATCGAGTCACGGCCATTCTTTAAACGTCCATGATTGTTATTGCAGGAGAAACTGAATTAAACTAAACTATTTATACCGTATATCTCTAACAAATAGATTTTGTCCGCCCATCAGATTGTTCAGTAATTGTTTTGCGATATGGGTATACCTTTGAAGGTGCCATGTAAATGATAATTGGGACAGAAACTGACTTAGTATATTTCTATACAGGCTCTCAATTTCGCAAAACAGCTATTAGTTTCCGGTTTCTAGAACACAAATTTTATAAGCAATGAGGGGGGGGGGGGGTCTTTACCAACAAACTAAAAATGATTGCGCACGAGATTTAAAAGCTTTAATCGTATTTTGAGTTAATGGGTGAAAAATGTGTTGGGTGTTTAATTGCTGCACGAAATGTCAGACAATATGCTTCAGTTTAAGCCCTTAAAATATTGCATTGTTTTCTAAAAAATCAGGTAAAGGCATTAATTAAGCATGTAAAGGTAAAGGTAAAGGCATTAATTAAGTATTAAGTATATATATATATATATATATATACTGTTATACTGAGTAAGTTGACGTTGATATTGTGTAATTTTTTTAACCATTATGCATATGTATATGGTTTTGGACTTTTGGTAGTTGTTACGGTTTTGGTTTCTAGTATACTGTGACAACTGACAACGTCCGTCTTGAGAATTATTAAGTGTCCGATTACTTCCAACCAAAACATGGGTTGATCTGACACAATGTCAGACAAAGTTTTCAGAATTATATTGAACTCTGATGACCTGTTGCTATGGCTAGCTTTGACACACACAATATTATAATTCGACATACAAAAGCAAAAATTGTACATACAAAAGCAAGAAATTATAAGCATTGTATAATAATTATAGGTATTCATATAAAACCGCCCATGCCAAGAAAGTAGAAGTAGAATAGTTAGCTGTCCTTTGACTTTGCGCAGGGTGTTTGATATTCAAATTGCACTTTTCCTACCTCCTGAACAGGTGCCTTAGGGACTGTTTAACACATATTAGAAGGCATTGAAATAAGTCACTATAGGCTAAATGAAAGTTCAAATGTTGGCTAACAGAATTCAAATGTTGTAGTTCAAGAAGATTATTAATGCTGCTTGAAAAACCTTTAGTTTACAGTTAACTATGTAGTTTTTTGCTGAATCGTGCACCGTAATTTATTTCAATACATCAAAATAATCCCGCCTCACATCTTGTCTCGGCAAAGCAGGATTCAGCAAATTCTGCATGTTGCCTTTGATCCCTTGGGTGTGAGGCAGCACTTTCCTTGCGATAGTAACTCCTAGTTTTAAGGATTCAGCAAATTCTGCATGCAGCCTTTGATCCCTTGGGGGTGAAAAAGCACTTTCCTTGCCAGTGGCGGACACCTTACGAAATATTTGGGGGGGGGGGGGTTCTTTAAACGAATCCCGTAAATGGCATTTGCAGCATTCTGAGAACACATTTTGTAAAAAACTAGGTTTTCAAAACACTGTTTTATTTTGTTATAAATCACATGCTAAGCCTAGAAAACCAACATTTCAGAGAAAATATTTACATGATTATTAACATTTGTGAACGGATTACATGGTGGTTTAATTTAATTAACACGCCAATGACAATGTAAAAATTTATTCGCTAAGTAAAGGCCTGTTTAAACGGATCCAACATTGTTGGACCAACATCATCCAACAATGTTACTATACTAGATATGACTGCTTCTCTTTCAAATATTTTTGGTTAGATAAGCTTTACTCAAACTCTAAACCTAGTCTTGACAAAAATATTTGAAAAAGAAGCCGTTTGAGCCATTATGTCAACAATGTTGGATGATGTTGCCCCAACAATGTTGGATCCGTTTAAACAGGGCTTAAGTGAAATTTATTCGCTGCGCACGCTTTTGTTTTTGTTAACATAAAATTGGAATCAAATTGAATTATCCATTGTTTTTAGCATAATAGTTTAATACGCATTCAAATATTATTGTGCAGCAGGAAATTTCGCCCCTAAACTTAGGGGCTTCGGTGGCCAAGTGGTTAGCGCACTTGCCTTTCACCTCTGAGGCTGCAGGTTCGAGTCTCACTAAGTACCTCCTCAGTGCGACTCGAACCCAGTCCCCATGTGAAAAGAGTAAAAGTCAACGCTCCGTGGGTTTTCCCCGGGTACTCCGGTTTCCTCCCACAGGGAAAGTTGACAAGGGTGGGTTAGGTAAAAAAGGGCCCACAGTAATTGGCATATGCTGTTGTGGTGACCCTGCCCTAGTTGGCAAAGCTAAATAAATAAAAAAAATAAATAAATAAATAAATAAAAAAACAATAGTATAAGCTTCAAACAACAAAAAAACGACAATGCAGACATTTAAAGGAGTGCCTGTTGCAAAACGTTGACCCCCTAGCATCCGTCAAAAAGAGTCTATAAAATGCGTATATGTTGTGACATGTACATGTACAGTACAGAAACATATATTATTATATTATGATGACAATTGCGTTATATCAGTGTGAGTTGCGTTACTTGGTACAAGATTTTTACATGTTTCAAAATTATCTAGCCTGCCTAGTGTATGGTGGCCCAGGCGTGCCATAGAAAATTTTGATATCTTTTTATTTTTTTTAATATATATTTATTAAAATTTATTTTTTTATTTTTTTCCAAACAAAATTTATTTCTAAACTCTGTTTTTTTTAATTCATAAAGTATTTTAATGCAAAATATTTTATACCTTTGGCCCAGGTGTGCCATTAAAAAAAATGCATGCCAATTACTGCTGTCCATATAATTTTGAGATCGCAGGCTCGCAGGGCACCATAAACAAAATGGCCGATCAAGAAGACATTGAGCTTATTAAAAGACGACTTACAAAAATATGTTGAATGTAACTTACAAAGGAAAGAAATTTTAGATTTTGTAAAGGAAAAGTATCCACTATATGCTTGGAGTCTGCGAACTTTTTGCCGTCGATTAAAACACTTTGACATTTCATACATAGACTACAATACTAATTTGCACCATGTTGAAGAGGCCGTACGTGAGGAAATGGATGGTACTGGCCGATTGCTGGGTTACCATGCTTTGCACAAAAAAGTACGGGAAGTACATGGCCTTAAGGTTCCACGAAATCTTGTTTATGCAATGATGGAGAATGTTGACTCTTCAGGACTGGAAGAAAGAGGAGTTGGGCAACCAAAGCGACCAGTTAGAGCAAAAAGATTTATATCAATGGTATAAAATAATAGCCTCTAAAGCCCTGTTTACACTACGCTCAATTTTTGGTACGGCACGGATAAAATTGGTACCCGTACCACTTTTTTGGTTCTTGGACCACAGTACCTATTTAGGTAGTCCAAGAACCAAAAAGTGGTACGGTACCAAAAACTGAGCGTAGTGCTTAAATCAAGAGCGTAGAGCGTAGGCTTAAATCAAGTATTGCGTTTTTTGAATATTTTGCTAATTAGTTTTAGTTATCTTTGTAACCTAAGAATAAAAAAAGTTTTTGTAGGGTTCAGACTATACCATGTCACTTGATATATGGTCACGACAAGATGTGTGGATATCAGAACTCCACATTCGATCTGTGCATGGTCAAGATACTTACAATGGTAAAATGTTTTTAAGAATTTTGACCACTAATAGTGACCTAAGAATTATTGGTCGTTTTTACTTAGAATACTTGATTACCGGCAAAGGTAAGCAGCCCAAATTAATTGATTTTTAATACATGTGGTGCTGATTGTAGGATAGCAGATTGGCTTAATACTGCTTTATCCTGTGTTTAATGTAAAATTCAAAGAAAATTAAAACTAATTAGCAAAATATTCAAAAAACGCAATACTTGACTTCGAGGCTATTATTTTATACCATTGATATAAATCTTTTTGCTCTAACTGGTCGCTTTGGTTGCCCAACTCCTCCTCTTTTGTGAGACTGTCTCAACATCCTGTTTTAAAGCTCAGTTAAAAACATATCTTTTTACCTCAGCTTTTGAGTGATATATGATCAATATACATTAATATTTTAATATCTTTGTAATATATGTTTGTGAATGTATACATTCTTAGTTGTAGATACTGTACTGCGCTTTTGATCATTTTCATGTAAAAAGCGCATTATAAGTGATTAAATTTATTTATTTATTAAAATCTTTCTTCCAGTCCTGAAGAGTCAACATTCTCCATCATTGCATAAGCTAGATTCCGTGGAACCTTAAGGCCATGTACTTCCCCTACTTTTTTGTGCAAAGCACGGTAACCCCAGGGCTTTCAGCATTATTCTGAGTAGGTGTCTATTTTGATAAAGTAGGCGGCTGTTGGGAGGGGGTGGTCTAGGGGGTCTTAAACTAGTGTATATTGATTAGATAGCAACACAACTGAACTCTGTAGCCAAATTATAATGTATCACTACTTTCATTCTTCAACAAGATAACTTCAAGATTTAAGATGGCAAATAACTAAATCGATTTTACGAAATAGTACGCCGTTTTCGAAAATAACCAGGCTATAATGTATAGACCAAGTTGAGGAACAATAACTTTGTTTGAAAGCTTAGAGTTGGAGGAAGGAGAGCAGGATTGATCATTCAAATACTAAACAAAGTAACCGGCGGAGGGCCGCCGGCTTATTTTGAAAGCCCTGGGTAACCCAGCAATCGGCCATCCATTTCCTCACGTACGGCCTCTTCAACATGGTCCAAACTAGTATTGTAGTCTATGTATGAAATGCCAAAGTGTTTTAATCGACGGCAAAAAGTTCGCAGACTCCAAGCATATAGTGGATACTTTCCTTTACAAAATCTAAAATTTCTTTTCTTTGTAAGTTGCTTTCAACATATTTTTGTAAGTCGTCTTTTAATAAGCTCAATATCTTCAGTCTTCTTGCCATCCCTGATCGGCCATTTTGTTTATGGTGCCTCCGAGCCTGCGATCTCAAAATTATATGGACAGCAGTAATTGGCATGCAT